TGAATCCATGCAACGTCTCACAACATGCTAATCTTTATTTATACTTAAGCTATTTTTACTCCTCAAGTTAGTCAGTTTTTTTCTTGCTAAAACAACATATTGCTGATTTTACATCAAAAGTCTGTAGGGAAACACGATTCACTTTACAGCCAATTTTGCTGAAATGGATTGGCCCTGCAAAGCAAGAGACATTTACTCTTTGAAATATGCATTGTCATTTACTCTTCAAAAACACAGCAGCTTTCCTTAGCTGTTTCTTGGCTTAATCAGTCCCTGAAGCTGCATAAATGAAAGGAATGGAAAGTGTGTGAGCATTGAGCTACATTCCAGCAAGGTGACTTTCAGTTTGCTCATGGTGGTGATGTCATTATTAAGGAGCCACTTGTTTTGTCTAAGTAATTATTTTCCTCATAAATTATTATTGGATTATTAAATATAGTGATTCCAGGAAAACTAAAAATGTTCCCAGTTTAAAGTCTGATCATGCCTGGCCATTGCGGCTCAGTGCTTGAGCACTGACCTAGGATCCAGGAGATCGCGGTTTGATTCCCAGTCACGGCACATGCCCGGGTTGTGGGCTTGATCAATGACTCTCATCATTGATGTTTCTATCTCTCTCTCCCCCTCTCCTTTTCTCTCTCTGAAATCAATAAAGATATATTTTAAAATAAATAAAAGTAAACAGGCAAGCAGAGAGACAAATGACTGACAGAAACATACAGATACCGCAGGTCTGTGAAAGGACAAGGAGGGAACACTCATCTTTCTCTATCTGGTTTGAAATGGACAAGACTATCCCTTCCTTTTCTCTCTAGGACTCGATAGTGTGGAACTTTCCCCAACAGAAAGGAGGAAATCGGGTTCACTAGCTCCCCTCTTCATTGAATCCTGTCAGCAGCCCTACTCCTCTTGCCCAGACATTGAGTGAGTCACTTGGGTTTCACCAGTAGGTTGCTCTCTTTTCCTAGATTTTTTTCAGCCTAAGACTTTGTCCCAATGTATATAAGAGGACATAAATACTGGTTTTTAATGAATTCAGAGACGTACCATTTTAAAGGAGAAAGACTTTGGGCTTCTGATTTATGAACATTAACAATCACAGCTCCTAGAATGTTGCTCTTCGGGGTCTTATTTTCTCATTCAGAGCTGTTCTTCTGAGTGAATGTGTGGTAAAATAGAACTGAAAATTTACCCTCTTAACCAGTTTCAAGTGTACAGTCAGTGGTATTAAGTAGATTCACATTGTTGTGCAACCAAAACCACCATCCATCTCCAGAACTCTTTTCATATTGTAGAACTGAAACTCTATACATACTAAGCAGTCACTCCCCAATTCCCTCCTCCCCCAGCCCCTGGTACCCACCACTCTACTTTCTGTATCTATGAATGTGACTACTCTAGGGACCTCATAGAAGTAGAATCATACTGTATTTGTACTTCTGTGTCTGGTTTGTTCACTTAACATGATGTCCCCGAGAGGTTCTCATTTCACTTAACATAATGTCCTCAAGGTTCGTTCATGTTGTGGCATGAGTCAGAATTTCTCCTTTTTTGAGTTTTTGTTTTATTGTGGAAAGAACACTGAACATGAGATCTAACCCCTTAACAAATATATAAATGTACAATTTGATATTGCTGGCTATAGGGACCTCTAGAGCTTATTTATCTTGCTTAACTGAGACTTTCTGCCCATTGATTAGCAACTCCCCATTTCCTCCTGGTAACCAGCATTCCACTCTTTGGTTCTATGAATTTGACTATTTTAGATACCTCATATAAGTAAAATCCTCCAGTACTTGTCTTTCTGTGACTGGCATATTCACTTTGCATTATGTCCTCCAAGTTCGCCCATGCTGTCGCATACTGTAGAATTACCTTCGTTCTTAGGTTGCATAGTATGCTATCATGTGTATACCACATTTTCTTCACCTACTTATCTGTCAATGATGTTTAGGTTGTTTCCATCTTGGCTATTGTGAATAATGCTGCAGTAAGCATAGGAGTGCTCATATGTCTTCAAGATTCTGGTTTCAATTCTTTTGGGTATGTACACAGAGGTGGAATTGCTGGATAATATGAAAATTCCATTTTTAATTTTTTGAGGAACCTCCATACTGTTTCCCATAGCAGCTGCACAATTTTACATTCCCACCAGTAGTGCACGAGGGTTCCAATGTTTTCACATTCTCATCAATGCATGTTATTTTCTGTTTTGGTGGGGGGTGGGGTTGATAATAGCCATCCCAATGGGTGCAAGGTAGTATCTCATGGTGGTTTTGATTGGCATTTCCTTAATGACTATATGTTCATTGGCCATCTGTAAAGTCTGTGTTTTTTTTTCCAGAGAAACATCTGTTCAATCAGAACTATTGATGTTCATTTTAACCTAAGCATTTTATCAAGTGGGAGATTTAGGTTGGGTGGGTATCCAGTGGGATCCGACACATTCCCCGGGATAGTCTTGGGTACCCCAGCCCCTAGACACCACTAAAGTATCACCAAAATTCTTACCTAGCTCATAGTGTTTACAAACTTTAAAATAATTTGTATATAATTTGATACAACATAGATTTGATTTTGTTTTTGTTTTCACAAGAGGCTGGTTTGCTGAGGATTTCATGAGCCTTGCTTGAATGGTGTGGATCCATGAGGGCAGGACAGGTTTCTTCTTTCCCCTCCCAGATCCTCCTCTAGAGATGAAGGGGAGACAAGCTTTAAGCCTTCTTGCTTTTCTAGTAGGGCAGGTGGGCTATAGATTTGGCAACTGTGCTATTTAAATGTCCGGACTGTGAAGAATACTTGTGTGGATTTCCTGGGGCTGCTGCAGCAAATGACCACACATGGAGGGGGGAGGCTTAAAACAACAGACATTTCTTTCCTCCCAGTGCTGGAGTCCTGAAATCAAGGAGTGAGCAGGGCCCCCTCTTGAGGCTCTAGGAGAGGGTTCTTCTTGCCTCTTCCAGCTTCTGGTGGCCCCAAGCATTCCTTGGCTTTGACTATATCACTGCAAATGCCATCTGTTAGGTCATTTCCTTGTGCTTCCCCAAGTCTCTGGGGTAACTGAGTGAGAAGCCAGTAGTGGGTATTTGTGAGTGTAGCACCAACAGAAAAATGACAGATCTGTTTGCCCCCATGAAGATCTTGTGTCTTAGTTGAGTACCTGTGTGTATGTGGTAGAAAGCAGGAGGGGGTCTGCAAGGGCGTGTACACACTCTACTCATGGGTCCAGTGGATATGTGAGTGCCCACTTTGTGCCAGGCACTGTGCTTCATGCTGAGATGCCACAGTGAGCAAGACAGAACTCCTAGCACATTCTGGTAGGCCTTGGTGCAAATGCCCAAATGCTCATTAACCAGCTGATACATGTTGAGCCAAATGAGCCAAAGACACATCTGTTTAGGGTGGACAAATGACAGGGCCCCCTGCCAACACAAAGAGGATTATGGGATAAAGAGGGATGGGATAGGCATAGAACTACAGATCAATTTACGCATTCTGAAAAGGTCTATAAAAAGTGAAGTTTTGAAATATATTTTCCTGATAACTTTCAGAAATATATTTTCCCAAACTGGCCCCATCAGACATTGAGGATCCTAGCATCTGTTTCAAGGCCATTTTAGCTACCCACCAAATCAGTTCTTACAGGGACACATGACCGTGACCCTGTGTGTGTTACTCGAGGTGTGGAATTGGATGAGAGCAATCATGGTTTTTGAGGCCCCAGTGCTGGCTGCCTGCCTGCCAGCTACCTCCTCACCAAAGAGTGTTCTCTGAATCTAGCCTTCTGTGAGCAGTTAGACTGTTTTCCTTGTCATGGATTTCACTGTCTCCAGATGTTTGGGGATCCATGATAAACTCTTCTGTTTAGTATCACTGTGGGACTTTATCAGCTGATATGCTTTACTACATCTCCCTAGATTTCCGATGGCCCCAAACACTCAGTTCTTCTACGCATAGTCGGGGTGGCTTTAATTTCACCAAGAAGGAAAGGTCCATCTCCTGTTACATTCTTCCTCCTCCCAGCATCCCAGGCCCTGGCATCTTGGCCATGAGCACCTAGTCCATTTTGATGGGAAAACTGAGCTGCAGCAAAAAGACATGACTTGATTACAGTTTGTGATAAGGCCAGGACTGGACCCCAGGGCTCCCCAGGTCTGTGCATTTTTCCACTGTGCTGCCCCAGTCTAATGAATCAACACAAGAGAAATAGAGAGTAACTGAAGCACATGAGTGCCATGGGAAAAGCTGCAATGCCAACGATGTTTTTGTTGTAAACTGATGAATGAGGCTATTTAACTGGCCTCCCATTCTGCCTCTAGTCCAAGTATACCATGAGTTGTGGGCCCAGCTATGGCCTTCTCTAAGAAAGTGGCCTATATCACAGGAATGGTAGCTGAGGGCTCCAGCCAACAGCTACACTTAAAGTTCAGCTCTTTGTGAAAACTTGACAGGGGCATAGCATCCACACAAAATACTGAAAGCTAAAACATGTTTTGGTTCATGCAAAGTAAATGTCTGTCTCTAAATATGTCTTTAAGAAAAGAAGGGTTGATCGCAAACAGGACCATATTTGGAGCTGAAATGGAACAAGCAGTTGGCGAGCCAATGAGAGACCAGGTCACAGGGACATATTTCACAGAAGACATTCCAAAAGTGAGTACTGATACAAAAAAGGTTAGCCAAAACCAGATAAGGGGAAATTAGAGCACATACGTACCAGGAAGCCAATGATAGTTAGTTGTGGGTTAAACATTATATTTGGTACATTTATTAAATCAATTAATGTTGAATATTGTTTTTCTGTATAAGATATTTATTTAAGGTATCAGTTACTGCTGTGTAAGAATATCAGAACATAGTGGTTTAAAACAACACCCATTTCTTTGTTCACGATTCTGTAGTTTGGGCTGGGCCCGGCTGGGGGGTCTGTGGCTAGTCTTCCCTGGGCTCACTCCCAAAGCTCCAATCATGGGGACCCCGTGGAGTGTATGTTCCAGGTGGCCTCACATGCCTGGCAGGAACTGCTGGCTGTCAGCTAAGTGCCTCATTTCGCCTTCACATTTTGCCTTCAGCAGGCTATACTGGGCTTCTGGTCGAAAAGGCAGAAGCCTTCCCCAGGGGCAACCGGGGCAGTGGCAAGGGCTCCCAGAGATTTTTCGATTCACTTTTAATAAATGCTAATGCTTCAGAAATGTAATTGTGCCAAGGTAAAACGTGTTTACATCAAATGTTAATAAAGGAGAATCCCCAGGAGAGTCCTGTGGGCCACCACATCACCCTGGTTTGGGTGTAGAGCTCAGAGTAAAGCCTTCTCTGTGCCCCTATAATTGAAGGTTAATCTGAGATTCTAGTGTTCAGACAAACCAACCGAGCCACGTGCCAGCTGGAGTTCTTTATTTGTATAAATTAGGTTTTTTCTGATACTCAGCAACCAAAAAAAATACCTAGATTCCAACGTTGTATCAAAGGTTGTTCCTTCTCATTGATTAACATTATAGTAAGTAAAAGTTATACATTTAAACTACTAAAATCAAAAGAACACTTTAGTCTTAACTTATTTATATGTTCTATGTGAGACATCTCTGAAAAAAAGGAAAAAAGGCTGGAAGAAACCCAGTGGCCTAGACATTCTCATATCTCAATATCATACTGCAATTAAAATAGGTTGTCTAGATGGATTTCTGTCCTATTCTTAAAACTCTCTTTGGAACAAGGGTTTTGTTTTTGAAATACACATTGGAAATCCTTAAATCACTTTTGTGATCCAGAACAAGATAACATAACTTTAGGATAGGAATATCTTTTGAAATGTGAAAGAAATTTACACTAAAGTAGTTGGGAGCAGTAGATAGATAGATATAGATATGTAGATGGGTAGATAGATAAAGTAAAAATTGGTCACTTTTTTAGATTTTTTTCCAATTATAATATTCTATTGGTTTCGTATATACAGCATGGTTATTGGATGTATATACAACTTGTGGGGTGTTAACCCAGTAAGTACCCGCCTGGCACCATGCACAGTTATTGCAGTGTTGTTGACTCTGTTCCCTATGCTGTACCCAGCCTTATCTGTAATAGCCAAGATATGGAAGCAAACTAAGTGGCCATCAATAGACGGATGGGTAAAGAAGATGTGGTACATACAGGGGTTGGCAAAAGTAGGTTTATGGTTGTAATGCAATTAAGTAATATAATAATTAATAAATAATAATATAAGAATAAACTATTTACCATACTCACAACTGTAAAGCTACTTTTGCCCACCCCTGTATGTAAAATTGGTCACTTCTTGATTTGCCTTATTACATTTAGTCTGTCTTTCTGTAAATTTAAAAGATATATACCTTAATTTGCGTATGTTTTTCAAAAATGTTTGAGGATATATATCACAGTGAATCAGAAAAAAAACCTCTCTAAGATGTTGATTTTATAACTCCCCTCAGTAACCCATTCTTGAGTTTTGTTACCTGTTTCCAGTCTGGAGTTTCATTCTTGCTTCTAATACATATTTCTTGTCTGTTGTGCTCACTTCCCCTGCATCATCTTTCATGGCCATGAAAAGTGGCTGTTTCACATGATCTCTAACTGCATAGCACTGTAAATGTGATTAAAGACATTGGTGCCTCTTTAGGCCCAGGAGTCTACAGAAACTAAGAAAAATCAGGTGGGAAGCAGGAAGGCTCGGAGTTATTTGAAAAGAAACTGAACTTGCCTGTAAAACTAACTTGGGAGGAGGGGATGAGAAGGGATTACCAAACATGGGACTGAATGGGATTTGTGTACTTCATTTGCCTATGCCCTGGGTATATCTTAGAAATTTCAGTCAAGATGCAAATTTTTGAGCATGATATGATTACATGTATATTGGAGTAATCAAAACAGTGTAGACCAGATGGGTTGAAAATATCATTTGGTGGGAGTGGCATAGTGAGACCTGGACAAGTGATATTAAAGCTCCAGAACCATCTGCAGATGCCTGGTGGACTCCAGTAAAATGTCATTCCAGATGGAACACCAGGGCAGGAGTGTATCTGTAGAAGGGGCCCTGGCACCCCTTGAGTCTCCTGCATATCTCAATTGTATAGGTATGTAAGGAATAAATAGGGGAGTTTGTTTGTTTGCTTGCTTGTTTTTAATCAGGAACAGAATTTCTTTAAGATATTTAGTTTCTAGCCCCCAACTTTGATTTCCTATACATGAGCTTCATAAATATGGGGGTTTGACATCTCAAGGAAGTCCAGATATGGTTTTAGAAAGACCCAAGGGAAGAAGGATATCACAGGTCCTTCTTTGGGGACACTTGTAGTCAGCGTAATCAGCATGCAACAGCCAGTTTTGCATTGACTCCCTGGAGTGAGAATATTTAAGTGCTTGCACATGGTGCTCTGTTTTTCCATTATTTTCCAGAGCTGGACATTAGTCAAGAAAGTGCACCTGTTGCAGAAGCTGAGCTGTAAAGACTAGAGAGGTCTTCCAGAGTCATTGACCTCAGAGCTCAGAAGGGAAAGCAAAGCCCCGGGCCTGGCTAACAGCTCACCCATCCTCACTGCAGCCCCACCAGCAGATGCCATCAGACTGTAACAGTCTTGGATGTACTGAGGAGAGAAGGGGTTAGATGATGAGCGCAACACCGCCCAGCTCAGCCCTGTCCGGTCGGGGAGAAAAAGGGCCTGACTTTCTCCTCAAGTGTGGGGACTGGGCTTTCCTCTTTCTGTTGCTTTAAATGCACCCTGTAGCTGAGTGGGAATCTGTTTTGTTTTTGCTTGTTTGTTCTGCCATATAAGTGCCCAGGGATCAGCTATCAGAAGCAAGAAGATACCACTTTTGTTTTATTTCCCAGTTTTGATCATAAGTAGAACTTAAACTACTTAAGAAAGTTCTTAAGTAGTTTAAGTTCTTTCAGAGATACCTCCTTTTCTTTTCACTGCACACACAGCAGATATTGGGTCATCCAGTACAGCCAAAGTCTTTCTCAGTCTCATTTGCTCTCTCTCTTCCCTCCTTACTGATCCCAGGAGATGAGGTTGCCACTGGGGATAGAATACCAGAATTGTATAAAACTTCCAACATGGCTCAAGAAGGGTTTCAAACAAACAAAGATGGACCTGCCATCACAGTGGCTCATGACTTGTGACTTCAGGCTCTTTATAGGTTCCAGTTCTCATTACACCGGTGTCCCCTGCCATCCCTCTGTTTCTGCAGGCCAAGAAGTGCACAGTGATTGGAGGCTCTGGGTTCCTGGGACAGCACATGGTGGAGCAGTTGCTGGCAAGAGGCTACACCGTCAATGTATTTGATATGCGGCAGGGTTTCGACAACCCCCAGGTGCAGTTCTTTCTGGGCGACCTCTGTAGCCAGCAGGTAATGGGCCACCCAGCCTTACTGACCTCTCATAGACCCCCAAATGGAAACCAGTGGACTTCCCCTGCTCAGATGCCAGCCAAATTTGTTGATTCAAAAAAATATTTATTTTGAAAAATATTTAAGTTATAGGAAAGAATTTAACACACCCACATTTTTACTATTCAGAATGAATAACTGTCATTTCCGTCACTATACTCCACTCTGCCATGGTAGTGCAAAAGCAGCCTGGCCAATACATAAATGAATGGGCATGACTGTGTGCCAATTCAACTTTATTTACAAACAGAGTTGCCCATGGACTGTAATGTACCAGCTGCTACTCCAGAGTATGTACCCAAAAGTACAGTTGCGGGGGTTTTTAATTTTTTTATTCAGATATAATTCACATTCCATAAATTTCACACTTTTAAAGTTCACAATTCAGTGGCTGTTAGTATATTTACAAACTGGTACAGCCATCACCACTATCTAATTCCAGAACATTTTCATCTCCCCAAAAGAAAAGCCCAGGCCCATTAGCAGTTGATTCTCCTTTCCTCTCCTGCTCTCCCAGCCACTCCTTTCCTGTCTGTGGATGTGCCTATTCTGGACATTTCATACAAGCATAATCATACAGTGTTTGTCCTTTTATGACTAGCTTCTTTCACTGAACATAATGTTTTCAAGCTTTACACACGTCATAAGAGTATTAATATTTCAGATTTTATTAGATGTTGCCAAATTGCTCGACAAAGCTGCTATGTCAATTTTTTGTCCCCACCAGCAGTGTGATAGTATCCCCATTGCTCCGCATCCTTGCCAGCACTTGGTATAGTTAGACTTTTTGGTGTTGCTGTTCAGCAATGCTTAGAATCACATGTCCTCCCTGTTTGGGAATGAAAATGAGATCATCACTGAATGCTGACATCAGTTGGTAGAAGGTTGCTGGGGAGGAAGCTATTCACACAGTCTCAAATGATCACCCCACAGATTAGTTTTTAATTGCAGAAAGGGAAAGTTACCTTTTGATGGCCAGAATCTGGCAGCCATCACCTTAACCAAGTGATCGAAGTCAGCATGCCAAAAGTATTAGGGCTGAATCTAATCATGAGGAAACAGACTAATCCAAATTGAGGGACACACTAAAATAACTGACTTGAAAAGTGGCAGTGTTCCAAAAGACAGAAAAAAAAAAAAAATAGTGAGATTGTTCCAGATTCAAAAAGATGGAAGAGGTACAAGGACGAAATACAATGTGTGATCGATCCATGATTGGATCTTAGGTGCAAATATGAAAACGGCTATAAGGGACATTATTGGGACCACTGGGGAAATTTGGATAGACTAATTATTGGATAAGAGTGTTCTATCTTACATTTCTGTGTATGATCATTGTTTTGTGCTTATTTTGGAGGATGGTTTTGTTCTTAGGAGATGCTGGGTGAAGTGTTTAGAGTCAAAGTGGCACGATGTCTGCAACTTTCTAATAGTTTCAGAAAAAAATCATATGTCTGTATATCTACTAGAGGGAATCGCAACACGATATTAATAATCAGTGAATCAAGGCACATAATTCATGGGTGTCTTTCTTTTGGTGATGTTAGCATCTATTGATGGTCATTCCTAGATCTTATTACTTAATTAAGGCTTTGCCAAATGGTGACATGCTGTCATTCTCTCTTTGTTTCTTACCTCAAATCTTTGTACGTTATGCAGATTAAATGCTTGACTCTTTCCCTTTATGTGCCAGTTTGCAGAAGGAATTCGTATTCTTACTGGTGATCAAATTGTCCCTTCTTTGGCCAGTGGGAGCCTCTATCAGTTGTCTTTTAAGTCCTTTTAGCAGGACCCCTGGAGTCTTGGCTAGCTTTCTTGCTTTCTGGTATGACAAGATGTTCCTGGCTCATCTCATCTATTTCCTGCCCCAGATCTGCAATCAGCCATTGCTCTGAGGCGCTCTGGTTCCTCTTAGCAGTAAATTAAACATACCTGTTTCAGTCCCTTTAAGGTTGCTGTTTTATGTCTTGTTTCACAAAAAAAAATACTCCTGTGTATTGGCCATTTACACTGTCTTTCATATGATTCATAATTTGTGTCCATAAGCTCATCTTCCCCAGGAATTTTACCCCCAGGTGTCCTGAATTGTGCTCTACCCCATGGGGCATAGTGGCACAGATGTCGCCTCTAGCTGGATCCCACAGGCTTCTGATGCCCCAAACCAGTTTTTATTAGGGACCAGCTAATGGCGAGGGGGTGATTAAAGGGACAACATTGTTTTTTTCCCATGTCCTTATGTATTGTTTGAATATTTTACAATGAGAATGTATTTCTTTGTTAATTGTAGAATTATAAAAGGGCAAGACACCTATGTGCCACAGATTGGAGAATGGGAATGTGAGGAGGCTGTTTACTTGTGCAAGGCAGGAGTGATTTGTTTTGTCTTTGTTTGCTTTTCCAGGACCTGTACCCAGCTCTGAAAGGTGTAAGCACAGTTTTCCACTGTGCATCACCCCCACCATCTAGTAACAACAAGGAACTCTTTTATAGAGTGAATTACATTGGCACCAGGAATGTCATTGAAACTTGCAAAGAGGCTGGGGTTCAGGTAAGGGGAAGGCTGGAGTGAGTGCTGTCACACATTTCTAAATGTTTGGGGGCCAAGGTTTTTGCTCTCCTCCTGGGCCTAGCCAGGCTTGCTTCGGAAAGTGTTGGGAAGATCCTAGAAATTAAGCCCTGGAGCATCTGGACCAATTTGAGCTGTAATATTCTAACTGCATTGAAATAGACCATCTGAGGACCCTAAGGCTTATTAGTCTTTGGTTAAATAGCTACAAAATGTAGATATTATTTATATTTTTATTGTGATAATATATATAACATAAAAGTTACCATTTTAACCATTTTTAAGTATACAGTTCAGCAGCACTAAGTACATTCGCATTGTTTACAACCATCCTTGCCATCCAGCTCCTGAACTTTTTCGTCTTCCCAAACTGAAATCTGTCTCCATTAAACAGCAGCTCCCTGTTCCCCCTCCCCCAGCCCCTGGCACCCGCTCTTCCACTCTCTGTCTCTGTTTTTGACCATTCTAGAGACTTCATATAAGTGAAATCATACACTGTTTGTCCTTTTGTGTCTGGCTTATTCCACTTAGCCCAATGTCTTCAAGGTTCATCTGTTTTGTAGCATGTGTCAGAATTCCCTTCTTTTTTAAGGCTGAATAGCATTCCATTGTAAATAAGACCACATTTTGTTCCTACATTCACCCATCAATGGGCACTTGGATTGATTCTACCTTTTGACTATTGTGAATCATGCTGCTGTGAACATAGATATATACATATCTGCTCCTGTCTCTGCTATTGATTCTTTTGGGTAAATACCCAGAAGTGGAATTCCTGAATCGTACAGTAATTCTGTTTAACCTTTTAAGGAACTGCCATACTATTTGCCAGACCTTGCTTTTATTTTCAAAGAAAAACTATTCACTTTTACTCAGTAGAAACCTGTTAAAACACAAACCCAAGTGGATATGAATTTCCACCGTGTCATAGCTTGTTGCATTGTTGTAAATCCTGGTTCTCGGGATCACCTTTATGGGATACCAGCCACTGGACAAGACAGCTCCCTGTCAGCCAAGCACCCCACCGTCACAGTGACATATGCCAGAGATGCTGTGTAAACGAGAAAAAAGACTAAAGTGAGCCAGGAGGGTTCTCTCCCAACAGTCCCCGATACTGTCCACCAGCCCCCCAGCACCATCAGCTGGCCCAGTAAGAACAGGAGGTCTTCTAAGCTCTGTGCCCTGGGAAGGATCAGTTATAGTAATAGTGACCTCTTACACCTGGCAAATGACAAGAAACTTTGCCCTGCAGTTTTCACCTGATTTGCTCCTCGTTAGGTAACCAGGGACTACTAATGTCACTTAACAGTTGAGGAAGCAGATTTGGAGGACTAAGTGCTGTCTCTGCTAGTAAATGAAAAAAGTGAGATTTGAATTCAGACCCTCCAATGCCAAAGCCAAGGTTCCTTACCTGCCCGTGCTTGTATAACACAGTGCAGCGAAGCACACTGCTGCTGGTATAAGTGGGATATCTCAGGCACCCAAAAGAGATTCGAGAATGATATAGTAGCCATGTACTCATCACAGCACTTGAGAAACACTATTACTGGTAGAATTGAAGCCCTGTGTATACCCATACTCAATGCCATTGCTGTTCTTCCCCACCCATAGGGAACCACTGTTGTGAATTTGGGTTTATCATTTATTTTCTCCATGTGCAGCCAATATAAGGTATTGGAGTGCATGTCTGAAAACTTTATAAAACAATATATTGAATAGATATTCCTGTAACTTGCTTTTTCCCCTTAATGTTACATTCTTGAGATTTATCCATCTTGATATATGTAGCTCCAATATAGTCACTGAAGTGGCAGAAATAGTTTAGTAGGTAACAGTGCAGGAGAGGATTTTTTGTGTTATGTTTAGGGAACATTTCACAACACTGAGATCAAAAGATTGTTTAATGTGGTTTTTTTTTTCTTTTTGTAAAATCATTTTTCTTTTTCCCCCCCCCCAATCATTTTTATTTTCAATTACAGTTGACATATATCATTATATTAATTTCAGGTGTGCATCCCAGTGACCAGACATTACATAACTTAATAAGTGATCATCCCAGTAAATCCTGCACCCATCCAGCACCACGCCTAATTTTTAGAATACTATTGGCTGTATTCCCTATGCTGTACCTTTTAAGTATTACTTGCACATTTAAATCTGTAATCTGCCAGGAATTTGTTTATATATGGTCTGAGGTAGAGACCACATGTTTTTTTGCTCAGCACCATTTCTTGTGTCATCCATCCATTCCCCACTATCAGTGCCCCATTCGGCACACCTCACATGTTGCTGCTGTGCATGGGTTCGTGCCCTGCTCTCTCTTCCTCTCTGTTGGCCTCTGTCTGTGCCCAGGCCATTGTCCTCTGCCTTAATTCAGTGAGCCTAAGGATGAATCTCTGTCTGGTAGGACAAGTCACCCCCAAACATGTTCTTCAGAATTTTCTTGGTTATCCTTAGCCCTTTGCTCATCCATATACTTTTTATTATTATTGATTTTAGAGAGACCAAGGGAGAGAGAGAGGGAGAGAGAGAAACACTGATGTGAGAAACATCAATCGATTGCTTCCCATACATGCCCTGACTGGAAGTCAAACCTACCACCTTTCGGTGTACAGGACAACACTCCAACCAACTGAGCCGCACCAGCCAGGGTTCGTCCATATACTTTTTAGGATCAGCTTGTTGAGTTAATAGAGCCTGCTGGAATTGTTATTTTAATTACATCAAGCTTAAAGATCATTTGGGAGAGAATTGACAGCTTTCCAGTATTGAGTCTTCCTATCCATAAATACATATGATCTGTTTATCTCTCTCTTTAATGCCTTTCAGTAGAGTTTTATACTTCATAATGGTTTTGCACATCTTTTGTGAAATGCTTCCCACTATGCCTCATTTATGCTTATTGAAATATCTTTCATGTTGCATTTTCAATTGCTAGTGCATGGGGACGCTGTTAGTTTTTGTGTATTGATTTTGTACTCAGCAACTTTGCTGAGCTCTAACTTTAATATTTTCTGTATATTCTTCGTGTTTTCTCTGTACATATTTCCAGTATCTGTGAATGGTGATAGTTTTGTTTCTTCTTTTCAAATTATTATACTTCACTGTTTGTCTTATCCTGCCATGCTGGCTAGGACTCCAGGGCAGTGTTGAATAAAAGTGGTTAAGTTATGATTCGAGCTAATGATGTTCAGTGATGGATGAGGTTCCTTTAACCAATGGGCTGGGAGCTGGGGACCCTCATAAGAAAGCATCTTCCTTTTGAATAGTATTTCTCAAGTGGGCATGGGTGTATGCCTGTGTGTGCTGACATGCCAAGGTTGGCATCAGAATCACCAGGGGTCTTTTTCAGACAAACATCTCCCTCAAAGGCTGTGGGCTATCCTCCCCCATGGACAATCACTCCCATAGTGAGATACCATGAATAATGGAAGTCTGTTCTATTCCTCAGCTTGATAGGAGAGAAAAAAAACGTGAAATCTGCTGTTTTAGAATGTAATACCATAATGTGTCCAGGATCCACATAGCTGCAAAAGATGGTGATCTTTGGATTATTTTAAGAAGGACCGAAGAGTGAAGGCATCGCAGTAAATAAGTTGTTTGGTGCCTTGCATGTGAGGATTGGGAACAAGTACCACTTGATTCTCTTTCAAACACAACCATTGGAGTGTTTATATAGTGATCATTCCTGACTTGTATTTTTTTAATCTTCCTTTCTCCACTGCCAGAAACTCATTTTAACCAGCAGTGCTAGTGTCATCTTTGAGGGCGTTGACATCAAAAATGGAACTGAGGACCTCCCTTATGCCATGAAACCCATTGACTACTACACGGAGACAAAGATCTTACAGGAGAGAGTACGTACCTGAGAATTGGTTGAGTGAGTGACAAGCAAGTTCCATGAACATCTGAAGGGCTTAGAGTCTTGAGAAAAATATTTGTGCCCTGGCCAGTTTGGGTCAGTGATTAGAGCATCGGCCTGTGGACCAAAGGGTCACTGGTTCGATTCCCGGTCAAGGGCATGTACCTCAGTTGCAGGCTCAATCCCTGGCCTTGGTCAGGGCATGTGTAGGAGGCAACCAATCCCTGTGTCCCTCTCACATCTCTCTCTCTTTATCTTTCTCTCTCCATCCCTCCCTCTCTTCTCCCTCCCATCCACTTTCTCAAAAAATCAATGGAAAAATATCCTCAGGTCAGAATTAAAAAAAGAAAAATATTTGTGAACATATGAAGTTAGTATTCTGAGGCCTAAGTACCTAACTTGGGAAGTAAAACTTGTGGGTGAAATTCAGTTTAAAAAAATCTTAACAAAATAGCACAATGTGGCCATACACTGCTCTGAGTCTTTTACAGGACCTGCTTCATTTAAACTTCATGATGACCCCCTAAGATGAGCACTATTATCATCACCAGATTACAGATAAAGACAGTTGTTGCCCAGAGATTCAGAGCCTTCCTGAGGCCATGCAGCTGGTAGGTGGCTGGACCAAGGCAGTTTAGCTCCAAAGCCTGCACTTGAACTCACACTATGCAGAGTTACTCAGTTGCTATAGAAATCAGAAAGCAGGCAATTTATGATGATCCAAAGTGTGCAGGCAGAACTTGGGCTTAACACACAAGGAGTAAGTTTTCATTTGAAACACCTTCCTAGTGGCACTCTTGTTCCCCTCCCTTTTTAAAATTAAACAGTGGAAGGATCTTGCTTTATTTTAAGGAAAAGTACTTTTCTATTTGGCAACCTGGCTTCTCCTGGGAGCACCTGCTTTTAACAGCTGTCTCAGTTGAGTAACAAGCACCAAGCCTTCGGACTCCTGGGCTCCAGGAACCCTGACAGCAGCTAGCTCCAGGATTAATGTCCAGGGAGGGCACTACCCTGAGAACAGCCTCAGCTGAAGGCCACGAATGCTCATCAGCCACAGACAGCTTGCCTTAGCTGGGTATCTGTGAGTTTACCTCTTCCAGGTGTCTGTAGCACATCACAGCCACTAAACCAGAGTTTAATGCCAAAATGGCATGAGTCCCCCGTACTGCCTGAGAGCCTGCTGCCTGTTTGCTCAGAAGGTCCCAGAAGAACTCATCTTCAGAGAGACACAGGTCATCCCCTTTCTAGTGGAGACCTAGCCTTTTGCAAGTTGGAGCCCTGTCTCCGCCACCCTGCGCCTTGGAGCACAGAGAGCCTCACAGAGCTCCCGCCTGCTTGGACTTGACCCATGGAGCACTGAGGCTTCCACTGGGCCCTATGTACTTACGCAAGGCACCTGAGACTCCCACTGTTTCTGTTCAGGAGCTGCAGGTGGCAGCTATGGCTCAGACTATCGGTGTGTCACTTGTATTAACTTTCTGTTCTCAACTGGGGAAAAGCAAAGCCTGTAAACTCCTCCATCAGTAATCCTTCTGGAGCCTCATGTCAGCTGCTGTTGGCACACAGTAATGCACTGTTGGCTTTCAGACCTCCCAACGTAAAAATGGAATGGGATGTTGATCTAGGACCCCTTCACTTTTTTTTTAATAACAGAGGTGAGCCTTGGTAGAGGGCATTGAAAGGCTTAATTAGTCATTTCCCACATTGCCATAGGGACTAGGGGCCTGGAGGGAAGAGGAGAGACAGCTCTGGGAATCTGTTGTAAGACCAATTCTTCACTGTTGGGCAGCTACAGTGGTTATAAACTCAGTCAACAAGTAACTTAAACTTTCTGGGACCCAAATATGTACAAAAATTTTGCCACCATAGAATAGAAATCCTAGATGAGGTGATAATGATACTTATCAAGCATGCAACTTACTGAAACAGTTGGCGTAGGCCATCTCATTTAATCAGCACACAGCCCTATCAGGATAGGCACTGTCATGGACCCCATTTTTACCAATAACATAAATCATTCAGGAAGTTTTGTTACTTTTGAGGCAAAATCTGTTTCTCTGTACTTTAAGCCCTTAAGTTCTAGTTTGTCCATTAAGCCACACAGAACACAGCTTTTCTCTCTGACAGTGGATGACAGGAGTGGTGGCTGCCTCTTCTTGAGTGCTTACTAGGCGCTAGGCACTGCTCTGAGGACTTTACCTGTATTGGCTGCCCTGTTTCTCTCAAACCCTTCACCTTCTCAGTCCCTCCTTCATGGCACACTTGGGTTCATCAGAGTACCCTCTTGGGAGGTGGTGCTCCAAACTGACCAGAGCAGCAGCCCAAGACTGGTGGAAATGTGCAGTTGGTGCATAGAGCTTTAGGCAAGAGCCCCTGTGGTGGCAGCAGCCTTGTGGGAGGCTCATGGCTAACTGACTCACCAGAACCCTCGGATCTTTTCCACAAACTGCTGCCAAGGCTTACCTTCCCCTGGCTGCATTTGTGCATTTTAGTCTTAAACCCAAACCCAGGCCTTTCTGTTTGATCTTACTGGTTTGCACCTAGCTGTCTCTCCTGCATTTTCCGATTTGGTTGGTAGAGTGAATGGGGTAGAGAAGTAGCCAGAATTATACCAGTCACTGATGTAGGTCTTCAGCCCAGGGCAGTGGGTGGCTTCTGTGTCCCCTGTGGGAGGTGCTGCTTAGCCAGTGCAGCACACCCACCATGGACACACTCCTGCTCTCCTACAGGAAGTCCTGGGTGCCAATGATCCTGAGAGGAATTTCTTAACCACAGCCATCCGCCCCCATGGCATTTTTGGCCCAAGGGACCCCCAGCTGGTCCCCATCCTCATCGAGGCAGCCAGAAAAGGCAAGATGAAGTTCATGATTGGGTAAGTCAGCCTATGATTGCTCTTCTCCAAGACCCCCTGAACCCACTGTAACAAGGATCAGTCACATTCAGCTCTCTTCTTATGTGGCCTTCTCTACTGCGCTCTATTCAATTCCCGAGGCTGACACAGCAGATGACCTATACTGGGGGGCTTGAAACAATAGAAATGAATTCTCTCCAAGTTCTGGAAGCCAGAAGTCTGAAATCCAGCTGTGGGCAGGTTTGGTTCCTATGGAAGATTCTGAGGGAAAATCTTTTCCAGGCCTCTCTCCCAGCTTGTGGTTGTGGCTGGCAGTCCTGCAATTTCTTAGCTTATAGATGCATCACTCCAATCTCTGCCTCCATCTTCACATGGCCTTCTTTTCTCTGTGTGTCTGTGTCCAAATTTCCCTCGTTTTGTAAGGACAGCAGTCTTTGGATTTAGGGCTCACTTTACTCCAGTATGACCTCACCTAACCTTGATTACATCTGCAAAGACCGTATTTCCAAATAAGGACACATCCACAAGTTCTAAGGGAACATGAATTTGGGGAGGACAATATTCAACCTAGTATACTCTCCCTGGCAGGCTGGGACAATATTTGTGTGCTGTTTGGAAACTGAGGGAACAGGCTCAGAGGGGAAAGACTGAACCAGGGTCAGGGGCCAGGCCTCCGACTCTTTGCATCAAGGAAGATAGGTGGAGGCGTTAACATCCCTTCCTGAGGAAGGTGCAGGTGGTGACAGTCTTCCCCAGTACCTTCACTCTTCCTTCCTTCCTTTTTTCCTTTTCTTCCTGTCTTTTCCACTTTTTCTTGCTACCTTGCCTCCCTGCCTCTCACTTGGCCTCCCTGTTGCCCTGTCTTACTGCTTTGAGGGATGACACAGAGATGGTAGAAATACATGAGGCCAAAGCAAGGCTTTAGCCCAGAGTGTCCTGGAAGGAGTTAAGAGCTGCTGCCCAAATTGGAGCTCAGAGCAGATAACACCAGTATTGGCCATGCTGGGATGGGGGAGGCAGAGCACCAGTCTTTCAGATACATTAGTTGGCCCTTAAATATCACACTGCCCCTGAGGGCCCAGAAGCTCTATCCCCCTGCACATCTTTAACTGTTACAGATGTCCACTTATGCCAGGGGCTGGCATTGCCAAGGCTGGTGGCAGCCGTTGTGCAGGTAGCAGTCTGTTATTATTTATTTATTTATTTATTTATTTATTTATTTATTTATTTATTGTTAATCCTCACCCAAGGATATTTCTTTCCATTGATTTTCAGAGAGAGTGGAAGGGAGGGAGGGGGAAAGACAGAGAGAGAGAAACATGAATGTGAGAGAGACACATCAATTGGTTGCCTCCTGCACATGCCCTGACGGGGCCGGGGATCAAGCCTGCAACCCAGGTATGTGCCCTTGACCTGGAATCGAACCCAAGACCCTTCAGTCCACAGGCTGATGCTCTAACCATTGAGCAAAACTGGCTAGAGCCAGGTACCAGTCTTAAATGCTAAGACTCGGGAGCAGCCCTGGGTCCATGTGCAAGGCCTCCAAGTGCTCCCAGCCCAGTGGAACCATATCTGTGTGCCCACAGAAACGGGGAGAACTTGGTGGACTTCACCTTTGTGGAGAATGTGGTCCACGGACACATTCTGGCTGCAGAGCACCTCTCCCAAGATACGGCCTTGGGTGGAAAGGTAAGGCACCTGCTTCTGTTTCTCCCAGCTTGGCAGTGGCTGGCCCACCACATCCTCCCCTGTACGTTTGCTCATCTTCAGATTGCTTCTCTGTGTGGTTGGATTCACTAGCACATTCCCTCCGTGATCCTGCATCCTGGTAGGCCTGCTTTAGAATCCTTTTGGGTCAAGGTTGAGCCCCTATGGTCAGGAGTATGGCATCAAGGCAGTATCACATCTCACAGGGCAGCCGAAATACAGAGGAGTGAGCTGGGATTGAACAGAGATTCAGGACCTGGTTCTCCATGAACGTAGCCTGCCTGCCTGCCATGGATGTGGCTATTCCAGTCAGGGTCCCGTGAACATTGGACAGAGCATTTTGCCCACTCATTCTAGATGTCTCCATTTTTCCCCCATCACCCCGCCATGCTCATGACTCTCACCCCTCCTGAGGGGCAGATGTATCTGAATCTCCTGGCATTTGGTACCCAGTGGGCAGGGTGGGCATGGGGAGGTGAGTGCTCACCCAGAGATGGGAGAGCACATGTGGGCCCCTCATCCTTTCCTCTCATTCTGAGGGCTCTGTCTTCCTGCTTTTTGAATAACCCCCTATTTGGGCCTCATTTTTTTCTCCTGTACTTCTTCTGTGGGAAAATGGCAGGGCATGTATGGCTTTTAGTTCAGACCAAACACGGCACATTTGAGAAACATAATATGACCCGTTTGTTGTACCTGAAGATAAGAAGATGAATGTTACTATGCTTAACACAATGACTAAATTAAATTAACAAACATGACTTCCTGAGTGCAATCTAAACTTCACTTAAAATCCTGGCACACAAATGAAACTTTCATTGCCTTCCCTCTATCTAAAGCTGCCCATAGCTGTAAATCAAAAGGTCTGCCAGCAGTGATACTTGTGGATAAGAGGACCATGGAAATACTGTGGTCTGCATGGGCTTAATATCCGCATCAGTTTTGAGCTGCCCTGCAAAGGAGCTGGGGTGGGTGGGTGAACAGGGAGTGGCCACTGGTTTCCTAAAACATTGATCCTGGGCTGAACCAGCAGCTATGACTGAGCTCTGAGCTCCAAGTTTTGAGCATGGCCTGCTCACCCCTCCAGCTGGGAAGCAGTCTCTAACTTCTTGTTCTTTCTTCAGGCATTCCACATCACCAACGATGAGCCTGTCCCTTTCTGGACGTTCCTGTCCCGCATCCTGACAGGCCTCAATTATGAAGCCCCCAAGTACCACATCCCCTACTGGGTGGCCTACTACCTGGCCCTCCTGCTGTCCCTCCTGGTGATAGTGATCAGTCCTGTCATCCAACTCCAGCCCACTTTCACACCTATGCGGGTTGCACTGGCTGGCACATTCCACTACTACAGCTGCGAGAAAGCCAAAGAGGCCCTGGGCTACCAGCCACTGGTCACCATGGATGATGCCGTGGAGAGAACTGTGCAGAGCTTCCACCACCTGCGGAGGGTCAAGTGAGGCCCCCGAGACTGGGCCCTCTCACCACATTTCCCCACCAATAGCTCTCCCCCATGGATCAATAAACTAACCTCCTTTAAGTGAGTTTATTCTGAGCTCAGGTCCCTCCTCCCAGTTAGATAGGAGCACACTTGGCCTTTCCATGACCACAAGTGGGGCAAAAAAAGCAGACATTTCTCCCTTTGTAGGATCAGATTTGGACTTCTTTTAGCAGGCAGCTTTGTATTCTACTGTTTTCTGTTCTCCCATTCCCCCTCTCTCCTGGGTTCCTTATCATTCCACTGCCCTTGTACATAATCACGGAAGCTTTAGGGAAGAAACAACCCCTTTACTAATTGAGGATGGAGAACTAGATTTATTTCCACGCAAACCAATACAAGAGTAGAAGCCACAGACTGTTCAAAGAGCCACATATTGCAAATATCCTAGAGGGAAAACAGAAGTTAGAAACATATGGTGAGACTGCAAGTGTACATTTTAAATAGAGTTTAGAGCAAACACTTCTAAAAAGCTTATGCATCTGTAACCCTCCCCCTCAATTCCTGGTTCCCCTCACATACTTCCAAGTTCTCTCAGGCCCAGCTGCAGTGCCTGCCTGCATTGTTTTTTCATAAAACATTCTGTCATGGACACATTTCACTTTATCAAGTGTCCTGTTATCCTTCATGGCATGCCATGGTCTGCCCCTGTGGGATGCTATTTCAGGTCTTTGGCTACTCTGACTGACGTAGGACATCTAGCTGCTTGACAGTGAGGTATCGGAAAGGTCGGACAGAAGAGAGCCTCCTTTATGTGCTTGGAGTTTAGGCAGAAACTCCATTAGCTGGTGTAGAAAGGCCAACCCCCTCATAGAACCCTTCACACTCACAGAACCCTTCCAGCCAATTTCCAGAAGGCCTAGCACATATAATGACTCAGTTTTCTCTATTTTCTGGTGACGTTCTGTTTACAGAACCTGGTTTCTTAAACTAATTGACATGTAATCTTAAAAACTTCTGTTTTCTTCTCTACCTTTGTCCTAAGTTGGGGAGGCTGGAATAAAAACATCATACATGCTATTTGCTTTGTGTAATATGAGCATGACCCCTGCCTGTGGGGAGACTGCTAAGCTTATTGGGGGGGGGGGAGATATAAACAGAAATAAGACACAATCTTTGCCCCAAAGGCACTTAGAGAAGTTGTGATGTATTCACAATCCTCTGTAATACCAAGCAGGAAATAACACACTTGAGGCGAGGTGGTGTAAGTTTGGAGGAAGAAGATATGGCTTCTAGCCAAGATCATCAAAAAGACCTTCAGGAAGGAGGTGACAGCATTGTGTTGGACCTTAAAAGGATAGACAAAGAGTAGGTGGAAGCCCCTAGGTAGCATTTCAGACCAAAAGGTCAGGTTCACAGTCAATGGCTTGTCATAGTTTCATTAGTAGTGTATCACCTTTCTCAGATTCAGTGAAATACAGAAGTGACCAGCCTGACTTTGGCTGGGAGGCATGGAGCAGTGGGAGTTCAGTCAGGCTGAAGAGGTAGGTAGGGCCTCAGATGCCAAGCCAAGGGAGCTGAACTTTATCCTGTAGGCAGGGGAAACCATTGACAGTTTAACAATGGAGGGCAAAAATCAAGAAACTCCTTTTGGCCACCCTGTGTGGAGCCTGGGAGACCAGATAGGAAGTGACAAAAGTGAGCACTGATGCAGCCCTGGAAATAGAAATGAAGCCTTAGTGGAAGCTCCTAGAAAAGAGTCAGAGCTCACTGCCTGATTTCCTCAGGGAGGAGGTCAAGACATAGAACTGGAGAACTCCACCTTCAGAGATGCCGGGAGGAGGGTCTCTGCTTGGAAGACTGAAGCTGGGAGACCTCACCAAGGAGCATCAAGGGCCAACGTGCCCTCAGCTTTGTCCTCTGAGCTTCCCTGGGAAAATGCTAGCAGCTGCCTTGACCAAAGATGTCCCTCGTCAAACTCTGGACTGTACATGTTTCCACATGTTTGTTGGGCACCGCCAGGGCTTCAGTGGTGAATAAAACAGACACATACCACAGCTGACATTCTAGTGGGGTCGTGCAAATCAATACATAATTGGAAACTTGTAAGTTCCAAAAAGGAAAAGTGTGGGAGCAAGGGTGGGCTGAAAACCTGGCCCAGTTGGAAATGCAAAATAGCCATCAAAGGCTTTCCAAGGAAGCAGCATCCCTGCAGAGCAGAAAGGTGAGACTGAGATCATTAAGTAGCTGGGGGAGCCCTCCAGACAGACACTGAGCCCCGACTGGGCAAAAGGCTGCCCTCCCTGCCTGGTGAGGGCTTTTGCCCCCCTTACTTGCTCTGCCCTGCTGTCCTGACCCAGACCTAAGTAACCCCC